TTCCTCAACATACTTTTTCATACGAGCCCAGAGAAAAGAGTATCTTCTATGCATTCACAATACCTTAAGTGAATCGTCCAAAGCAGTCAGTTCTCTTTTTAAGTTATCATTTGAATGTGGAGCAACAAAATCATCCGCTTCATTCAAAGCTAAATGGCCATGCATAGAAAAATCGTCCATATGATTGTCAAGCATTTGCATGTTCTAACTTTTTTCTCTTCGGTTCATAAGGCGTGAAATATGTCGTTTACAAAGGATCATTTCCAAATACAAATCATTTTCTCGGTTTCCTAAAGATCGTTTTGCATCATTCAAATAAACTATTAGCCAAAGTTGCAAGCCTTTTAAAGCTCCCAAATAAGCAGTTGAATTTAAAGCTTTTAAAGTTTAATAGGTTTATAAAGTTGGAAAGAACAAAAAAAGTTGTCAAAGTTCCCAAGTTTTGAGCCAATTGTTCTAATGGTTTCCCTGGAAGATGTCATAATCTCGTTAAATCATATAAAAATATTAAATCAAACTCTGTAAATCAATAATCGAGTTATACCATTGAGAAAAAACACTTTATTCCATTAATTAATCCAAGACTAGAACATATTAACACACGGAAAGGTGAAAAACAAAATTCAAATAGCTTGCCTTAAGACGTAAAGCAACTTCAAATTGACTGCATTCAGAATGGATTGTAAGCGTAATCTCAAAAGCAGAATCCGGAAATTAATACCACTCATGATCACAGCTTGTAACGAATGCAAAATTCGCTTGCAAGTCAACATTGAGAAGTTGAACTTAGCTGCGTAACGGAAATATCTATCTTCACCGATTCATAGATCAGTTTAATTTGACGCTTGCAAATCTCATTTAACAGGCAGGGAATCGGTTGACAATAGACAGACTACCTTGAATTTAGTTCTTATTCGTAGAACTTCTCTTGTCTGGGTTATCTGTTATTCTGGGCAAATGTTCACTCTGTGAACTATTGATAATAAGTAGTTCAAACAAGCTTGACAATAAGTTTTCCTCTAATGAAAAATTCATGAAACTTAACATATTATAAAAACTGGTAAATGTTTAGTCTGTCAAAACTGAAATACAAAAATAACTTATATGCAGCATCCATCAATAAGTAACATGCACATCATCTGCTTAGTCTGAATTTGAAAGCAACCCTTAAAGTCGTACTTCTGTGTCTAACAAAGTTTTCACCTTTCACTTGTAATAACAACAATTTTATTGTATCAAAATTTTACTATTTCAGTTGAATAATGCAAAGTTTTCAGGTTAACATGAGTTTTCCCAAGTTGTCTTGAAAACATGTGAATATAAATGAATCAAGTGAACAGTTTGATTCGTTCAACAGAGCCAATTATTGTAACCAAAAGTGATTCCAATTTGATTGGAATCGTTGGGAATGATGATTGAATAGGTAAACATCGAACCATAACATTTTTCCATCAGAAGCGGATAATGTTTAGAGTCAATAGATTAATTGATTCTCAGGTGGATAAAAGGAAATAAAGAAATGAATAATAAGCAAGTCATTTGTTGCTATTCAATTAATCAAGTTAATCAACATAAAAGGACAAACCCATTCAACTGTCGAAACATTTCAACATTTACTTGAAAAGAAAGTCGAGCGAAAGGAATCGACACAAAAATTAAAGAAAAGGCATTTAATCCACTTTCATGGCAATGGTCAACATCTAAATATGCCATCGATAAATGATGAATGTTTGACTTTAGTTTATTTCGTTTCAACAGAATTGCTCATCCAAGTTGAATACAAATGAATGGAATAATTTATGAAATTTGTTGCCCTCACTCAATGGAAGGAAATAATGGACAGAAATTTTCATGAAGATAATGATGAAAAATGGAATATCAATTGCCATTAAAGTTGTTGAGTAAACCATTATTTAGTATCAAAACGATGATCAACTATTCAATTCTGTTTCAACTGTAAATGCCTGAAGTTGAAAGTTGCGAGAAGAAAAGAAAGGTTGAATGAAAATAATGATAATAATAGTGGCGATAATGGCCATAGTCAGTGCAATATAAAAGTGATAATTTGGTGGAGACAAGGGAAGCTTTGACAGGAAGGCAAAAGGAAAAACAATGAACACAATTTCAGGCAATTGGAAGTTTCATGACTTCAAGACATAAATGGCCCAGTTACTTTTACTGTGTTCATCTGTTAATATTTATTTTCCACTTTCTCGCTTATCTTCTTGTCCAGACTAAAGTGTAAACAATTGATGACAAAATGAGCAGAGAAAGTAAATGAGTAAACAGGTTCAAGATGTTTGAAAAAATGTTCAATTGAAACTTCGATTGTGATATCATGGAAATTATTATAACCATAAAATTCCACTTTTTTGTTCAATTTCCTTTTACAGAATTTCTTTATTGGCACATTTTTCAACACTTTGAATATTTATATTGGCTCAACAGATGATAGAGAATGGGAATTTAGAGTTGACATGACTTTGGATGGATGATAACTAAAGGTTAACTTGCTTGGAGGGAAAACTCCCTGTAAAATGAAACTCTTTTTTTTATGATTACTGTTTCTTTAGTAATGATTTCATTATTGACTTTTCGCTTGAAATTTTCTTTTTCAGATAAAGTTTTTTACCAATTTTCTTGTTACAAGATTGAATGATTGCCATGAAATGCTCGAAAAAATGAAATGGCTTCTTTCACTTCCAATTGAAAGGTTCAAAATTACGTCTATTTGTTGAAATCTATTGTTTCATTCAATTTACTTTGGCAAAAATATTAGATTTACGCCTAATCTGATAAAGTTGATTAAAGGGTCCAATGAAACATATTGCGGCCGATTTTTTCGATTTATGCCTGTTTACGATCATGACGGGTGAATAATGGCACAGACCATGGACTTATGAGAATTGGAAATTTTTACATTTAAACTTTTTTTCTGAGATCGTCAACTTTTTTCAAAATGAAATGTTATTGCAACTCAAAGTGAGCAAAAGATATTAGTGTTTAAGTAACCCTCAGTTGAGTAAGTTTTGTTTTCGTGGGAACTCGAGCATCTTCCCAATCATTGAAACTATCCATCTGTAACAAACAGCATTCGGTGTGAAAAAGTTGACAGCTACAGAAAATGACCCTTGAAAGTTAGAGGTAGAATAAACGAGTGACCTTGAATGACCTTGAAAACTCGAACTCGCGGTTTTTCAATTTTTTAAGCACATGGCTTAACCAAACATCAGCACAAACATCCATTATTCATTCGTCAGTCATGACCTCAAACAGGTGTAAAATGGAAAGAACGCCCAGTATTTATCATGAAGTTTCAACACGATTCGACATTGAACTAGTTTGGACAGAAATCTCAAGTGGAATTTTTTTCCAAGAAAAATCACCATAATTCTCGACATTGACTGAACTGAGTTAGTTGGGAAAGCAAAACTTTATTAAAATGTAATAACTTTACATATTAATTTTTAAAGTTGTCTGATATTTCGCAAGCTGGGAATGACTGGGAGTGAAAAATATTTCAATGAAAAGAAACGAAAAGAATGTTGGACGAGATTCATGGTGAAATTGTTTTGCAAGACTAATGTTAAACTAACGCTATGATAATGAGTGCTTTTGTTTTGGGGCACATTCATGTGTCAACAATGATTATGACTCCAATTGTTGTCTCATCATTGACACTGACAACTCATATTATTTTCATGTCACCAAATATTGATTATGATAACCGAATGTAAACTCATAATGCTAATTCTTTGGATAAATAAACATTCCTAATCATAATTAGGCTAAACCATTTTCCTCTCTTCCCACGTCATTCATTATGATAAGAAATCTCAGCAAATTTAACAGGTCAAAAGGAATGAACCATGAAAACGAGAAGAAAAAAAAATTATCATGAGCAATACTCTAATGCAAACCATCAAGAAACATTACTTGTTATCAAAATAAACAAACCTTTTCATTTCTCAGCTGCCAACTTTGACTGATGATAACAATGATAAACAATAAAAGTTTGATTATACAATAAATCTGGAAATCGTTGAGAGCGGAAGAAGAAAAATATTAAACTTGAAATTGTTGTTAACATTTTGCAATTTAAATTTCATTCCATTTTATTGAATAGCATTTGGTTGGCAGCCTTTTCCTGTGACTTATCACTTTGAGTTTCAAAATGAAATATTGATATTTTCATTATCAACTGAGATCATCATTTGGATAAAATATTATCGTCAATATTATTCTTACATGAAAATTTTAACGGTTCTAAAGCTCTTGGAAAGTTTTTCTTCACTTTTCTTTTTTTCTTTCTGTTATCCAGAATACAAATAAGATGATTCTCGGTGGAGTTGAAAGTGTGTGCAAAATATGGCAAAACAAGTTGGATGAGAAAAAAAGATAATGAGAATGAAATGATGATGATAGGAATGAACCTTGCCGCAGAGTTTCAAGTTATTCAAAGAGGTTTTAGAGAAAAAAGGAAAATTCATTTTTTCCTTCATTTTTTTCTTCTTTTTTCCTTGAACAAACAGAAAAGAAAGAGAGAAAAAACGGAAATAATAACATGGTAAACTCAATTTTATTGATCATTCCTGTTATCAATCATTTTTGCCTTCAAGAGTCGACTTTGAATATGAAAGATCGAGTTAAGTGATATCAAGTATCGAATGAAACGTTTCTAATTGAGATAATTTGATTCATAAAGAAAGAGCAATTTACATGTTTAATGATTAATGAGCAATGATGGCATGAAAAAGGTTGAAATTGATAATCTGATGAAGTAAAAGGTGAAAGAAAATTTTGTTTCTTTTTCTTCACCATTTTGTATCATCTCATTGAATAGTCTATTTAGTGAATAAAATGGATAAAATGGAAATGTGAAAAGATAAATTTTATGGAAACTTTTTTGTTCCTTTTTTTCTTACAAATTGAGTAAACATTGTTGTTCAGTTGATGGATGAGAAGAATGAAGAAAAGGCGAAAATGAATGTTTTCCTTACCTGAGGTAAACTTGCTGTTACACTGATAATCCAAGCTGTAAAGACACATTTATGAACTAAAGGTGCACAGGAAGTGTATTTAAAAGGATAGATTACGGCAATGAAACGGTCGATTGAGATGCAAACAAGAATGGATGAAGATGAATAGATTCCTAGGGCACGATAAAATTGAAATATTTTACAAGCAATGGAACCATAAATCCAGGTTATACTGAACCTCCAAAGAATCTCTGATGGAATCATTAGACAGGTAACTATGGAATCGGCAATGACAAGGTTTGAGAGTAAAAATTCATTTCTAGTTCGCTTGTAGGCACTTGTTTTGAAAATGTTGTAAAACACTATCAGATTGGCTGGAGCCCCAAGGAAAAATAGGCAAAGGTAAGATGTAACTTCAAGAACGTTTAGTTGATTCAGATCAGAGTATTGGGTTAAAATGGTTGAACCATTGAGGGTTGACAAGTCGATGTCAGGTACAAGTTTAGACTCGATGGCAACCGAAGCTGAAGATGATGTAGACAACCCAGAAGATGATATTGAAGAGGTGAGGTGAACCGTTGGATCGTTGGTGAGTATCGAGTCCAACCCGCTGGGTTCCACATTGTTGGACACTTTATTTTCATCACGAATATAACCGAGCAAATAAACTGAACTATTGGTTAACATCATCATTATGTCATTGTTATCCATTAGTTGAACTTGAGTTTTTTTCAACTTTTGGTTTACTTTTGGTTTTACTTTTGGTTTCAAGTTTGGCCAAAGTTTTTTTGACTTTGCGCTTGACTTTTTTTCTTGATGTGCTCAGGTTAACAGTTGGAGCACAAGTGAAGTTTACTGTTGAGTAAACTGTGGACAAAGTGAGTTGCACCATGTACCATGAGAATGCGCATGATGAAAGTTTTGTTTATTTCCACGAGTAAATTTATTCGCTATAATGTAAGGAAATTATTTCTCATTATTTTGCCTTCTTATTAAATTTTTTTCTTCTCTTTTTTTTCTCTCCTCTTCTTTTTTTCCATAACGATGATTCTTTGTTGCCATTATCAATTTCCCATTTCATGTCTCACCTTTTTCTTGCTTTATTTTACTTGTTGATGCCTTTGAGTCCATCCTGAATCAATCAAAAGTTCATCAATCAAATTGACAACTTTTCTCTGTTGCAAGTTCAATCTCACAATTTGATTTCATTTTTTCGTTTTTACTTTTTTTTCTCATTTTGTTCACAACCTTAACATGTAATTTAAAAATATGATCAATGATTTTGAATAAAGGCCAACACTTTGATAACAAAATTGTTGCTCAATTCATTTTCAGACTCATGATAGGCGAACAAAATCCATTAAATTCTTCCGTTCAATATTGAGGCCAACCATTGTAATATTCAGATTATTCATGAACAGCAAATGTTCAGATTTTGTACTCTTCCAACCTCCAGATTATCAGGTTCAGATGAGTTGGAAAATCATAACTAAATTAAAAGTCTAATCCATTAACCTAATGAATTTCCTTATGAACAAAAGCTCAAAAATTCTTAAAAACTCATTGAATAGAGACACCGAGCGACCGGAAAAGGGAAGATTTTCCCTGAGTTCAAAGCTTGCTCAGATAAGTTGTTTGAGTTTAACACTTCCTACGCAAATCTTGAGAAACTTTTATTTTCCAGAATCTTGTTGGAAAGCATTTTTCATAAACACGATAAATTTATGGCTAGAGTTGAACGAAACAATGTAAATCTTTTATTTGAAACGGAAATGTTATTTTTATCTCAATTTCACTCATTTAAGATTTAAATATTGATACAAGTCGAGTTGTGATCACTCATAAGAGCATAAAATTGTCATGTTTATTCAACAGAAAGTTTCAACTGTCGCTATTTCGATGCTGAGTAATCTTGTGAAAGATTATTTTCTTGACTTGAATCAACTTTGGGTTCATCTGCATCATCAACCATCAACTTGTAATCAACATATTAATAACAATCGCAGTTACCAACAACTTCATTTTACTCATCTTGAAACATCATTTCTCCTCATGAATCAAATCTACCTTTTAAATATTACAATATAAACCTTTTATATCGACTTACCTTTGTCATGATGAAAAGAGAAAATAACATTTTCTTTTTTTTCTCCTCTCATCTCATGGTTAATAAATCACAAAACTTTTTTTTGCTCAACATTACAAGTGTAATGTTGGAAAATGATGTGTAAAACAGAAGAAATGAATCGAAATGCTTTTCTCATTTTTTATCATTCATCTTATTCTAATAATGCTTAACAAGAAAATTAATAATCTCAACATTCAATCGTTGAAATATTTCCATTCAATTCCCAAATGAAACTTTTCTTTTAACCAAATCTTTTGTTCAATCTTCTGGTGGATTTTTTTGCTATACAATATTAGATTTTTGATCCTGAATAAAAAAGCAGGGAATGAAAGACGAAAAGAATGAAGAATTATCAAGTTTTTACAGCAAACACACAAAGAAAGTTGCAACACACAAATGTATCCATGACAGGTAAGAGATGAAATGAATTGTTACATTGAATAACATTTACATGTTATAAAAAGAAGAGATAATAAAGAGAAAAAAAAGTTTTCTTGCAACAGCGGTTAAAGTAAACACTGTCATCTGAAGACAGATTAATCAGCTAATGTCTTGTTGTTAATGATGATGATAAACTATCGATTATCGATGAAAATAAAGGTGAAAACAACAAGTCGAGTAATCAGTTGGATGTAAACATGAAAAGGAGGAAAAGAGTTGAAGCGAAAATTGTTCAACAATTATCGATCCAGGTAATCAAAATTATCAATTAATTTCGAGTTTGACTGGAATCAAACGAAATCGATTTTTTCTCTCAGCAACTTATCGAGCAAAATTTGATGAAATTCCGATGAAAAAGAAACTTCCGAATGAATTTTCTCACCAATTTCAATATTTAATTCAATTTGATGAAAAGCATCAGTTCAATGCAATGGTTATCATCATCTTCACTGGGAGTGAATTTCACTCCCAGATAACTTTTTGTGTTCAGCGAAATTTTTACATCTATCGTTATCTATTGTTGTTACCGACTTGAGATGATATCGTTAGAGTGGACCAACTTGTTCATTGTTATCAATTTTCAATACATTTCGATGGTCAACATATGAAAGAAAATTGTGATTAATGACTATTCTTTCCCTTTACGCTAATGTTACAGGTTTAAATGATTATCTGATTGCATCACATCTGGAAAAGCATATTATCAACACTTATTTTGTATTCTGCTGATGAGCGAATTAAGTTAATAACTAACCAACTAAAGTAATTAACTTTTTTTCATTTTCCTTCCTTTCACTATTTTTCGGTTCATGCTTTTTTTATTAATCTTTGATATCATTTATTTCTGGTTCAATCATGAATGAATTATTGCTTTTACTTTTCTTCTTTGCTGTTGAGCTATTATTTACAGCTTGACCCTTTCATTTCACGAGTCAAAGTAGTTATGTTCAACTATTTTATGTTCAAATTGTTTTGTTTTTAAATATTAAAATCATATTTTGAAAAGTTTTTCATCACTTTGAAATTAGTCTTAATCGTTTATAATTTGGTTCGCACCGATTAAACACTAATTTGTTCAAAATTTTTCGATTTGAATTGTAATATTGTCTGTTAATTGAGTCTTATTAACTAAATTAAGTCTAGATTTATTTGGATTATTTAATGCCAGTCTAAGACCATGGATCCAGAAATCGTGAAGTTCTTTGAATGAGTCGTGAACGATGAATCCACATCGTAAATTCTTAATGAAAAAAACCATCGTTAGAATGATAAAATGAAAAGATCTTCATCTTTAATCATTTGCATATTAATATGATTCAGTTCGTGATGGAAAAACGCTGAATTGAATTGTTTCCTGCTTTGACTTTATCTGATTATCATTTATTTAAAGCATAGAAGTATCCCATTCCGGAGAAAAAAGTGAGAACCGAAGCGGTGTCGAAAATGTATTTTGACCTCAAAGTTCATAAATGAAAAATGGATTTTATGATTTGCTGTCCTTTTGTGAAGTATTAGGGCGTTTGAACATGGCCGGTTCTAACATAGTTCGAGTAGGTGAACATAGATGGAAATGAGATAGACATTTAGCTTAATTATTTAGCTTAATTGTTAGAAAGTTTCAAAAAATTTTGTTCATCTGTTTAATTTTTATGGTGACTATTTATCATGGCGACCATTGAAATGAAAGCTAATATAAAATTGCTAGTCAGTCAAAAGCGTACCAACAAAGAGATTCAAGAGCAATTAGCCCGAAATTTCCCTGATTTGAACCCGTCTAAGACTACAATCAATAGATGGATTCGAGAGTTCAGATGTGGCCGAGAAAGTTTGGAAAACCAGACTCAAAGAGAAGGAGTAGTGCAAATCGATTACCCTCGACTTTTGGCCGCCGTTAGTGCCGATCTTAAGGCTGACAAAAAACTTTCGATTCGGCAATTGGCTGACAAGCATCGGACATCAACACAAACGATGCATAATGTGGTCACGAATCTCCTTGGCAAGAAAAAGCTAACTCCTGTTAAGGTTCCTCATACCCTCAACATAAGCCAAAAAGAGTCTCGAGTTAAGTGCAGTGAAGCTATGTTAAAGCTGTATAATAGGGGCAAACGTGATTTCATCGAGAATCTTTTCACCATGGATGAGACATGGTTGTCCATATATGACCCAGAGTCTCGAACTGAGTCAATGGAATGGGTCAGTGATAGGTCCGAGCTCTCGCAAGTCGCAACATCAGATAGACGTGACCCTAAGGTTATGACCTGTGTTTATTGGTATTCCGGAGGAATTTTGAAATTTTTTTGGTGTAATCAAGGAACCACAATCAATGGTGAAATCTATCGCGAACAATTGAAGGACATCGAATAGCTCATCAAGAACCTATTACCAAAAAGGCCTCTCTTCCTCCAGGATAACGCGCGTCCTCACAAGGCCGCTGCTACAATGGCTCTAATCGAGGAATTAGGGTGGAAAACAGTCACCCATCCTGCCTATTCACCTGACTTGGCTCCGTCAGACTTTTTCCTTTTCAAAAATTTGAAAAAATTTCTCAGAGGAACTCGATTTTCTTCCATTGATGAGCTAAAGGGCAGCGTCGAGACCTTTTTTCAACAAAAGCCCATATCTTGGTTCAGAGAAGGATTAGAAGCCCTACCTACCCGTTATCAGAGATGCATTGCTGCGTCTGGAGAGTATTTCTCTTGAATTACGATAAAAAAATAAATGCTCCTAGTCAGAACCGGCCATGTTCAAACGCCCTAATAAGTTGAAGCTATTTGAGATCATTCATTGCTTAAATATTAATAGTTACAATTTAAGAACCAGATTTTCTAGATTCAACTTGCAAAAGTGTCATGAATTCCGTCATTTTGGTCAAGATTTCTGGGCATTTTTCGTGGATGAAGCTCAATCATGGCTTTCAAATTTTATAAAAATTTTCTTTAGAGCCCGTTCATTTGAGCGACAATTTTTATGCAAAAATTTGATGTTTTCAATTTATATTTTTTATGTATTGATAATATTTTTATTCAAAGTGAAGTGGTAAAGATGAAACGTGAGAAAAATATAAATCATTGAGTAAATTATTCTGACACAAACAAGGCGTGAATAATGTGATAAATGCAACGTTGAGTGGGCCATGAGTAAGATGTTAACTTTGCAAATATTATCATTAAGCCAATTTTATCATGAGTAGCATGTTTCACGTGAATTAGCTCATGAAGAAAAAATTGAAACCAATAAGCATAGTTAATACTTTTATTTTTCTGTCAAACGATATTTAGTGCTTTACTTTAATTCATTAATAGTTTTCTAATAACGGCATTATTATTTTCGTATTATCGTATACACCTCGACAGAGGTTGAGTGCTGTCTGCTACTTTCAGATTCAATAAGGACGATCAAAATACAACTGGATATCATGTGTTCAATTCTTGACCAGGTTCTGCCAATTTAAAAGTTTCCATGGGATTTTACATAGAAAAATATCAATGATTACAAATGAATTAAAATGAATTATGAACCCAAAGAGTAAAGGTAGAAGAGAAAGATAATGGGTAGAAAATCTCATAAATAGAAATTATTTTCTAGAAAATCCCAGTTCAAATTAAACAGGTAATTAAATTGATTGCAACAAGAAATATCGACTGACAATTTAATCAAAAAAGTAAGATACAGCTTTCAGTTCATGATACCTGAACAATGTTATAAACGAGTAAAGATGCCAACAAATATTCAATTTTTATTCATACAGCAAAATCTAAGCAAATAACCTGACAATGTCCTTCACCTAAGCTGTTTTATCCAATTTGAATATCATTAGAAAACAGATCATCTATTTACAATATAAAATGAAATGAAATCTCACGAGTATTGATTCGAAGTTTGCAAGTGATAATTATTCAAATTCATAAGAAAAAATAGATTTACTAAAAGCTATCGAAATCTATTCTAGATTCTAAAAGTTTACACCAACAAAATTCAACATTTCTTTGAGTTCTGTAGTCCTTGAACAACTTCACTCTTCACAATGAAACAGTTTTGACAGTCAACAATCAATACTTAATTGCACTTAAATTTGTTTTGTAGATCAGACAATTTAATACAGTTTAATGTATTTAACGATAACATTGATGCTGCAATATCGTCACCCTTAATTACAAATCGCAGTCAAACTAATAAAATGAAAGGAAAAAGTTTGTAAGAAAAAAAACAATAAAAACGATTTTTCCATTATTATCATGAAAGTTTCATTAGTTGTATCAACAAATCTCAAACAAAGTCACCTAATTTCATTTGAATTTTTTGTTCACAGAAAGAAGATTAATCTGGAGAAAAAATCTTTACATTCGTTGTCTTTAAAAATGCATAGATTTTTCAGCCTCCATCAAACCCAAATAGTTATTCATTCTCAATCAGGAATTTAATGAGATTTGAATCAAGCAGTAATTTGCTCACAAGCAATCTTCAATCTGGAACTGAATTTTCTCACTTGTTTTTACACTTACAAATAACGATAGAAAGCTTCAAGTTGCTTATTATACAATCAGCTAAAATCTAAAACTTGTGGTTGAAAATTATTTCCCAACGTATTCAATGAGAGATTCTGCGAAAAATTCTAGGAAAAATATTATCGACTTTTTTAACTTACAATTCCAAAAGCTTCAACCAACCTGCTATTTCAGAACTGAGGCACTGAACTGAACACAATTGAAATGTTCTGAAGTCACCTTAAGCCGAAAGTCTATTCTTTGAGGCATTTGTTTCCCGCAACACCTAGACAGGTACCTAATGAATAACTGCATTCAGACAATCATTTCAACAGACATTAGAATGAGGAACTCGAAAGTGATAACAAGCGAGAAAGTGTTTTCATTCATTTAATAGAAATGATTTAATTGTTTTTCTTGAGAAAAGATTAACTCAAGTAATGGTTAATCGGATCGAGGTTTCATTCTGAAGCTTCGGGTGCTGAAGCTTTAACCAAAAAACAATCGAAGAGATTATTTATCACAAACAACTTTTGTACCATAATTTTTAGCCACAGGTGATAATTCAAACTCGTGGAGAAGTCATTCATTTTTTTCTGTTGTTTCGCGACGAGACTGAACTAAATCAACCAAGAATGAATCTAAACATGTAAAGAAAAAAAGTGGAAATGAAATGAAACACATTATGGGAATGCCAAAACTAAAAGCTATTGGAACCTTGAACATGAAACAAGAATAATTGGAATAAAAGTTCAATGATCAGAACATTGTAAATACAGGAAATAATCATTGTATACTTGATGTCTGAATGAGTAGGTGAACATAGAAAAAATGAAATTCCCTGTTCATCCTTCGTCAACTTTCAGTCGATAAAACATATTCCCCAGTTTAGTCATCACCATCATTATCTTTTGACATTTGTTGACCGATTGTTATTACATTTTACAAATTGAAATATTGAAGTGAAACAAAATATGGAGCAAGAAAATGATTGAAAATCTACAAACACATTACATAATCAGACTTTTCATGCCAAGTTTGGAACTTTTTAATATAAATTTCAAGTATTTTTTCTCGTCAATGAGAAGCGTAAAATGTTTGAAATGTTGAGTTTCTCAACTTTGAAATGTATCGATTTGAAGCAAAAAATAGACTTGAAATTTATAAAACGCAATTTCACCTGAGAAATCAGTTTACTTTTAGGCTCTTTGGGAAATCAAGATGAAAACTTTTGCTTTGAATCTTTTGATATTCAACTTCATTTGTCTCATTAGATTGATAAATTAACTGTTGAACCATTATTTTAAAAGTATTTTAATTACTTACCTCGTATTGAGTAACTTTGAACTTTATTTTCTCACCAATTAACAGTTGATTTTGTAAAGCAAATGAAATTTCTAGTTGATATTACATTTTATTTCTTTTGCATTACCAACCATTTGAATTTTTTATATTGAATAAGCTTTATTTTCAACCAATCTTATCGATTTTCATTTGAAAGTATCTTTACTACGCTTCTTATGTTGGTTGAAACAAGTTTCACTCAGAAAAATTATTTCGTGCAACTACGATATTTGAATTTCATCCAGACAACTTTTCGTTCTTTCGTTTCTATCTTTCGAAGCCAATTTATTAGTTCTGAGAAAACTTCTAACATGAATCTTCTAACTCTACTTGAATTGAATGTTGCCTAATAAACCAAGATTGTGTGCTTTAATCATTTCGATCTATCAATATAATAATAGTCGCATAAAATGATGATCGCCGTTTCTTCATTGTCAATGAAATCGAATAAATTTTGATAAAAAAATCAGGAAATGTTGAATTTACATTTAATCAGGTCTGATTTAAATTTGATTAACTTGTTGTTTTCCTTCTGATTATTCAATTATTCAGATTCCCTAAAGATGCTTGTTGTTCATTAGGAAATAATTGCTAGATTATCAAGGTTCAAGTTATAATCTAAAGCTGATTAACATGGGTAACAATGGATAGAATCACAATTTCATCAATAACATTAGATTAACACACTCAACCAGTTTTAGTCTTTTCTTTAAACTAATCCTAACTAATTGTTTTACCCAAGAAAATCATGATTACACAAAATTTAATCCCAAATCTCAACACTAACAACTGTAAGACAATGCAGATTTGGCGTTTCTCATTTAATTGAGATTCATGGCAATAATTGTTTTCTTCATCATTCCCACCTCACTTCCAAGTGATAACAAAAAGATTGATATCAATCAATTTTAATTTGCAACTTGATATTTGGGCCAAAATTGAGACTATATTTAAAAAGAAGACGCAATTTAATTCATTCTCATAATGGTTATAAAGACAATGGAACGAGTTGATTATTTTTCAACCTGAAAAAAATGTTCATTCTTTAATCATTCATTAGATGGAAAAGTCAATTAATTTAATTACTTTTGGGCTTTCATCACGATAGTCAAATTGTTTACCTGTCCAATGGTGGACATGAAGTTTTACAATGAAAATGCAAGCTGAATGATTAACGATTCAAACTATAATAAAACTAATGATAATGAAAGCGATAAATGGAAATATGAAAATGGTTCAATGTGAATCAATGTTGAGTCCAAAGTCAAATTGTTTACAAAAGTTCTATTAAAAGGTTGATAATTTGCCAGATTATTCATGAAAGTGGAATAGCTGAGGGAATTTTAATGTTCACTTCCCAGACTCTAAACTCAATTCAACTGAATACCATTATTAGATGAAAAACCAGAAAGTGACTAAAGTTGATTCTAATAAAGGTTACAATAAAAAGTATGAAAGGTCGATGTTTAAAGATAATTTAATTTACACTGAAAGAGTTGAAATTGAATCATGAGACGAGTCGTCTTGTTTAGGACAGAATCAAGGAAATGATTTACTTCGAACTTTGTTTTTTGAATAAATATTTAATCGACTTTTTCTTGTTACACATTAATCTCAATAGAAATAGTTTTGATTGACTTTAATTTGGACATTAAAAGATGCATCCAATGTTGAGTAGATTGAGGTCACTCAGGGTTCGTCCATTTGCGCATTGAAAGTCGACGATGAACTCCTCTGAAGTCGATAGAAGCCATTTGTATTTGGTGCAACCTCGACAGCTCAATGGATTACCTGTTTGATAAATGAATCAGATAATCAGATTTGATTTAGTGTTTGGAAAAGTGGAAAAGATATTAACAAAATTGCAGTTAATTTGTCCAATTTGGATCCATCAATGGAACCAATTTGGACGATAATAAAAGAGAGGAAAATATCATTTTTTATTTTAAACCATTTTTGGCAATCTTTTTGAAAGCTTTGAAAATATCATAAAACTTGAAATGGCTCAATCTTTTTGCTCAACTTTTTTCACTCTCAAAATAAAGTTACCACTTTAAGGTTGGTAAAGCTGAAAATTGTTACTAATTTTGCTTCGATTTTAAATTGCTTTTTATAATCACTTTTATTTTTCTGATCAGATTTCCATCAGCTTCAGATTATTCATCGGTAAAGTGTGTCAAATCTCTCATGATTAGATAATATCTCAAGATAATATCATGTTCATCTATGAATTAAAGTTGGCAGTTGGAGAGAGAAGCTTGGTAATGATTAATTTATCCTGATAAATGTAACATGAGATGAAATTCAGAGGTAAAAGTATAATCATAACTGATCAATTACTGACCTGTTATAAAATCTTAATTTCAACAGAAAATAATAAGCCATTTATCTGGTTGAAACCATTCATTTTGGTAAAACTATTTTCTTCTTTGATTTTGTTCCGATAAAAGTCTAGACTAGTTTGATCAATTTAGGTAAAAGTCAATTGTAACTTTTTATTGAAAATTAAATGGTCGAGTGAAATTTCATCTCAACTTCAACTCTGATCTGGTTGTTCACTGGTTTTGCTTTGAGTTTGTCTCGAAGATTTCACGGATTCAGAATTGATCTTGAACTAAAAACAAAATAAGTTTGGTTGGATTTAATAATAATTTTTGAGTGAAAAGACTTGGAAAGACAAAAGTGACAAAAAAAATATTTTCGTATTATGAAGGTCGAAATTGCTTGACAATTAGATTTTTCAAAATGTTGATGCTAGATGAAGATAGAAAATCTGATTAGTCTCAAAGCCATTTTTCGAAATATCGTCTACATTTCGAGATGTGCAAAAAGGTGAGCATTTATTTTGTGATTTAGGTGCTAAGAGATCTGATGAGGTAATTTATTTTGATCTGTCATCCCAAAAAATCAGGTCGATATCATTGATATCATCAATATTATCGATATTTTGTAAAAGTAAAACAATGCAATTACTGAATCAGGTAACGAACTCAAAAACATTATTTAGTTCCACTAATCACTACAAGAAACTGGTGCGATCATGGCTGATCGCAAGTTTCTTTTAACCGCGTTTGCTAAATTCAATCCACATTTAAAAGACCCGATTTCTTAATGAAGAAAACCATCGTCAGGAAAAAACTAAAAAATAAATAAAACCTGGTTATACACCTGAATAAAATGAAATCTAATTTTGAACTTTGGTAGTGATTTTATCAAAAATTTTCAGAGAATCATAGAAATGTTTGAGAATGATTTAGTTCTTATAACCCTGAAAGTTCATCAGGTTACAGATTTTTCAGGGCATCAGATTACCCACTAACTCTTTACTTTTTATTCAAAAACATAGTTTTACATAAAATCCTGGTCCAACAATGAGCCATCAACCTGAATAACAAAAAAATTTTTGTCCCTCACTCAATGTTATTGAATACGAATTCTACATTTTTCTCCCAGCTTCTATTTTCATTCATTTCTCAGAGATCTGAATTCTGAGGTGAGGCTTGCTATTTCTCGTGTATGTAGTTGAATTTGGACTTCTAAGCTGTGTAATTTTTTTCTTAGAAGCCGCTCAGTTTGCCCCAATCTTGACACAAAAATTTGATACATTGACTTTATATATTGTGTAGATGTGTAGATAACATTTTGTTATACACCGTGCTAATTTCGTGATTTTCAATCTTCGTTAATAGATCGAATTCAACCTGAAATGCCAGCTGATTCATTGAGTTTTTTGTTGAATATTTTACGTAAGGAAATCGAGTTGTTAATAGATCATATTAATATTAAATAACAAATAACCAAATAATGGTATTAAAATTTTCTGAAATTGAAATTCAATCCAACTTCTGAATAACTAGACTTTACAACACCAAAAATCAGATTTCGTTCATAAAAGTTGTCCAGACTTGAATAGTACGCGTGCAAAATGGAGTTTCAATAGAATTGACCTTCAAAGAAAATCATTTCAGAATGCAAGCAGGACTTTATCCCATGATAATAAAGCCAAAATGCAGAATGAAATGCTTTTTAACCGAAAAAAAACTAAAATTAAACCTTCAAACCTGATTAAAACATTCTGTATTATTAAATTGAGCATTCAAGTAATGAAAAATATTGAAATGAAGGGACAGTTTTCCCTATCCTTTAGCTCTTTATCTTTTAAAACTGATGAGATTTTTCAATGCATAAGTCAGAGATAAATATAATGACAAAAATTCAATGAAATTTAGTCAACCTCAAAAGTTATTGATTTATTTCCCATTATTCCATATTGATAATATTCTTTCCCTTTAGCTTATTGAAATATTTATACAATATATTGTAAAAGAATTCAAAATGATTTTTTGACCAAAACGTCCAACGCGTGGATAAATTTTGGAAAATTTTGATTCTAATTGGCATCAACATCATTAAAATAAAAATCCAGAAAAAACAAAACTCGAGAACAGAAACCCTTTATTCACATTTTAGTATAACTTTTGATACAAGGTAATTTTTCACAAACATTCACTTATTCTTTGCATATACCTTTGGCATTCAAGAAATCTTCAGACCTAATAATAGCTCATTATCAAAAATAAATCTCTATGATAAAATTTCATGAAGGGCAACAGTAAAAAAAGTCTGAGGAACGCCTGGTCTGGGTCTATTATATTAATTTTTAATAATCTAGGGTTCATTCCAGACACTGGCAAGTGACTTGTAAGTACACTTTATTTACACTTGTATGTTTTCTGGATCAGATAATGTTTACTTCATTCCTTATTAACTGGTTTCTTAATTGCCTGCTCTAGCATAACTTACAAGGATGTTATGCGATTTTGAAGTCAAGATAATCTTATTAAACTCAATGAGTCTGAATTGAGTCTGAGCCTGAGTCTAAATCATAAGTTTTAAAAGGTAAAACAATTAATGCAAAGCTCCTTAAGATAATGAGTCACAAAATTTTGCGTTTATTGTGGTCAATTTATGGATTGAGAAATACTAATCAAACCATTTCCTGGCCTTCCTGTCTGTAGTGAATTAGAGAGATACAAAGAAATGCATTTCGAAAACAATTGATAAGTAACTCGATTTGAATCCCTTCCTTCAAGTTCAAGTGACATTTACAATTACCTTGAAAGTTGACCTTTCACTTATTTATTGAATAAAAAGTAATATCATCTAGAAATATCTTAAAGAGTTACATCTTCAGGGAATGCCAGATATTGTATGAAAAGATTATAAGAAATGGCTTCTAATACACTTACGATTTACTCATGTTATTCACCCTTCACTAATTATTCAAAATTCCATCAAGTAAAGTTAAGCTGTCTCGAGTTGTTGGCATTTCTGTGCGCAATGAAACAACTTGACTCTTATTTGAATACAATGAAAGTTATTGAGAAAGCAATTATGGCTGAATTTCAAAAATACTCCCGACTATCTTTCAATCAGTGAAGGTCTCGATTGTTTTGAAGAAACTTTACCCCATTGCGTGATACAAACTAGACATCATTAGTATTTAGATAAAGAATTCAGAAAATTTATTTTGACTGAAAAAACTTCCAATTACCGAAACGCTCCAATTTCCCGACTTTGCGTCTTTATTGAGTACAGACTCGAAGTACAGGAATTTTCTAAAAGTTGTTAGTCAACAGTTTCTTTTGACAATGTCTATCATTTATCTCAAAAAAGGATTTTACAACTTTTTCTGTTGAATAATCTGAAGATAATCTAACCTAAATGTAAGATATAATTCAATGATATTTCACTGAAGTATTGGAAACTCTGAGAAATCATTGAGAACTGAATGTGCAGATAAGAAAAGCTTTATACTGAAATTGAAAACAAATGATAGGTTTGATTGCCAATCAACTTATCAAAGAAGCTTCTTGATTCACCAAAATGGTCAATTTGGTCTTGAGTAGAATATTAGATTTTCGAAAACCTCGAAAATTTCAATTTCGAAGATTATAATGTCAGTCATAATGAATATTGAACACAGCTTACCTCCAATGCCAATCTTGGTATTATAAGATCTAACAAGATTCTCGAAGATGTTTGGATCCAGAAAAGTCAATTGATTATATGAAAGTTCAATTATTGCTGGAACTGCATTTAAAAATGTTGAACGATCAATGGAATTGATAACATTATTGGAGACATCAAGCTGTAATAGTGAATGAAGAGAAACGAAGAGAAACAAAAAAAACATTTGATTAAACATTTGTAATGGGATGAAACAATCAACAAGCAAATCCAAATCAAATAACGGCCCAGTTAATCTGATAAAATGTTATTAAACAGAAAAGAATGAAAAAAAAGTATCAAAATAATGGTTCAATAATCATTTTCCCAAAGTTGATCCCACAACGTTTACCAACTAAATCAAGAACCGTCATTAACAGAACACAAAAAAAACACTTTTTCCAAACCTGCAAATACTCTCGGTTCCGGTGTTTAATATTAAAGCTATAAAAGTGGACTTACGTAGGTTGCAAGATGTAACCTGTGACTGATCAACTCATTGTAATAATCCAAGGAAGAAATAAATTTGCCTCAAGCCATCATCACAATGGTAATAACAATCATAGTAAATACTAATAATGATGGAAATAAGTTTTTTTTGACAATTTTTTGCTCTCTTTTCGTAATCTTTTAAGCTTGTTGACATCGTAATGTAATAATAGTATCACTGGGAGTGAAAATGATTACGACTAAAGAATGAATAATCTTCAAGTTTACTCTGTTATCAGCATTTTAATATCGTCTGTTAATAAATGGGTTCAATTTTTGGCTCTTTTTTGCTTCTTCTTCTTGTTTTATTGGTAGACTTTTTTTCTCACTGATAAACAATTATCGTTGTCAAGGTTGAAGGTTGATAGTTGAACTTGTTTCCAGCTTGTTATCATGTTACTTGGCTCAGTGATGAGGGAAGATTATCGTGATGAATTGTTGGGGAAAAAAGTAGATTCTGGTGGTGATAATTCGAAAAAAAGTGAAGGTAAAAACAAAGAGTTTCTTCTCTTTTTTTATCTCTTCTGTTTTCATGCTCAAGGTTAGCTCAGGACAGAATCTGATGACAGGAAGAAGAAGCATTTTTGTCATCATCATCATCAATCTAATATAATTATCAATGGAATGAAGGTTAAAGTTGTAGCAAATTGAAGGGAAAGATAATGAAAATAATAACTTTGATCAGGTTTGTGATGATGATTTGTTATCTTCAAATGTCTTTCCCAGAACTGCAACTAAACATATCAAAGTTCAATTGTTGATAAATTGTCCATTTGTAATGGAAACAAGTGTGTAATTAACGGATCAGTTTGGGATTTTGTTTCGTCTCTCAGTTGGGCCAAAATTGGTTCGAATTTAAAAAGGATTGGAAATTTTTCTTACCGTGAATAACAAGTTTGAACCAAATGAAAGAGCTGGTAATTGGGTTAATTTGTTGTTTCCCAGTAAAATTAACTGCAAGTTTCTCATTCCGAAAAATGCTCCTGGCTCAAGAGTTTCAATTTCATTGTTTGATAAATCAATTTGAGTCAATTTGGTGGCCAAAGAAAAGCTGTTGGCTGGAATGATCGTCAGCTTGTTGTGTGACAGAGTCAAACTTTCAAGCTGTTCCATTAAACCCAATTCTGCATTCATAGTGAAACAGGGAATGAAGAGAGAAATTTTGATCATTAATCGAATTATCAAATAGAGAATAGTGCGATATTCGATTTTCTTTAGAGTTCGATAGACAGGAACAGTCGCAAGTAAAAGAATAGTTTGGCTGCTCATTTGACAATCATTTTATTCAACTGCCATCTATTGAAGAAAAATGTTCGTTCATCTTTATTCTTCCTGTTACATGCATGTTCTGAATGTTTTCCTAGAACCGTTTAGAGTCGACTGTGCGAAAAGTAACCATTGGCAAATCACTGGCAACTTATGCGAGGAATCGATTGATATAAGCATGTTCCGCCAAATCTACATGTTTTTACAGTATTCAAGCTATTAATCAAGTTGACGTATTGCCAGCTTTACAGATTTAACTCAAATTTTCATGAACTAAACTTCGATTCACTTTTTAATTTAAAATCGAAGGGAGGATTTCAAAGACAAAGGTTATAACTTTAGTTCTAGATTCTTTGATTGTTTGAAAGTTGTACCAGTAGTTTAATGTTGATTTGACTATTGGATAATTTTGAAAAACTCAGGTGCTACAACATGTTTTATACCAATCTATTCCTAGAAAAAAAGATTGCATTTGAGAAAAATTGCTACATTTTTTATCTTTCAGATGAATCTTTCAATGGAAATAAAGCTTACAACAGCGCTTGTTAGTGCAAGAGCGTTGGGAAAATTCACTTGAATTACGACGATTTAACTATATTTATCAGGGTTTCGAGTACAAACACACATTTCTAACTTACTTTGAAACGTTAATTTAGATAGAATTTTCTTCAGTTCAGTTTTCATAATCAGTTGCCATTGTAAAGATAGAGTAATAAATGAAGTTTCTCATGAACTTAATCGTGAATATCTCATTAGTGACAGCATATAAATCAGGCCTAGTTAATATTTCAGTAAATAAGCTATGAAACTAAATTATGATTTTCGAGTGATCTTTTTATTTTGAAGCTAAAATTTGTTCAATTCCCAATACTTTTGCAGTAAGCTTCAGCTTTCATCTGAACTGCACTCAACCGTTTACCCTGCTCGTACGCGTGCCTTCAACTTTTTTCTCATGTCCTAAGAAGAAATCGAGAAGTATGGATGATTAAAAGCCTTCTGGTAGTCAGTCTAATCGCAATAATTAATCATTTACTACATCTTTTGAGATACGAATCCCGTTTGAAAAAGGTATATCATATGATTATAAGGCTAAAGACATGAATTGTTTCTATTCACCATTCAGGTCTGATTTCAAGCCTTGTGATAGCTTTTCTGAAATCATGTTAAAGATTATTTCCATTAGCAAATGTCAGAGTCAGCTGAGGAACTGCTGTTGAACAGGCGTGTTTCAGACTATTCATTCATGCAAATTCAGTTTTTTTCACACTAGAAATGACGAAATATGTTGACATAATTGAACAATAATCAGACTAAATCAGGTCACAAAACTGGAGCTAAGAAACTCGAATCTGACTGAAATTGCGATTTTCACTTTAAACTCGTATTTTGCAGCCAAAACTCAAATTTTCTTTTTCTTCTTTACTTTCTATTTGATATTTTCAAAAGGCTTCGAAGTCAGTCGATATATTCATCGATCGAGTTAACTTTCTTTTTTCAGCGATCGACTAGTTCGCTTCATTTGTGCTGTAAATTTTTAAATAACTCTTACCATTAAAGGGAAAAGACTTGATCTTGTTTCGGTGGAGGCTAATTTGTTTAACAATCTCATATGAACCAGTGAAAGCGCCTTCTTCAACTGTTTCAATTTCATTTTCTTCGATGAAAAAGGATTGAATTCGTAAACCATTAAAGATGTTTCGAGTTAAATTATAGATAGAGTTTTGAGTGATCCAAACAGACCGGTAAGCATTGTATCCATTTGGTACTTTAAACACTTGACTCAACTTTTGTTCATCCAATGAGTTGAAGCAGGAGATTCCCTCGCGATCACAATGGCATGGTTCAATCGACTTGGGATCAGGACAATCAGCAGAATCTGGTTCACAATGTACTGAAACAAAAACTAAACAAAGTGAAAAAATGAGCAAAAAATTGTTAAACATGATGAGTTGAAAAGAGATTTTCCAAAAGTTCGAAAGCAAAAAACTGTAAAATGCTAATGTTGAAAGTGTTCATCTTTTGCTCTTCCAATTGTCTTTTAAACAATTGATTATCAATAAAATGATCAATCCATTGCGGATCTAAATAACAATTCATGGAATGAGATTGAGATTAGATTAGTCGATTGAAGCTCATTTCTGGTTCATATTTGTTCCAATCAATTTGATAACATTGAAGCAATCAAAGGTGATCAAAAATTAGATTAATATCAACACAATGAAAATAATTATTAGTTGAAGCAATTTAACATTTTCCTTTCCCTCCTTGTAATCATCATTATAAAGACAACATTATTTTCAGTGTTTTGTTGAGCTTGATTGTCTCGTTGCTTAATTACTAATTAACCAGTTGTGATTAACCGTTTGGAAATGAACAACCATGAAATTAACGAAGACGAAAATATTTTTCTCATTAACTCTCGATCTACTGGTCTGTAGTTAATAATGAGATAAACATGTTTCAACTCTTGTTCTCACATTAGGACATTTAATTACATCCAGAGGTTGTCTACATGAAACTCTTAAAATTGCATGATGTTCAGTGAACACTTTTACCAGTAGACAATCATTGCGTAAACCACGTAAGATTAAACTTTTTCGTTAAGTTTCTCATTGCGCTCTGAATTGTCTGAGTAGTGATAAATAGCCGTCGAGCTCATCACAGCGTGTGTTGTTCAAATCAAAGATATCTTTGTTCCGGTCTCGTCTAGTCTTCAACATTCATAATGCATAATAACTTGATGTGACTTGAGCTTTGAGTTATTGAGCATAAATTTTCCACTTTTCATAAGAGTGTCTTGATAAAACTCATTGCTCAAGTTTTGTTGAGTGCTGTTAAAATAAAAACTAATCTGTTGATATTGAGCATAAAAGAAATCTTTCATTCTTTTTGTTGAAATAAAACTTTTATTATAAAATGATTATGTGATATATCGATTGATTCGATATACTAAATATCGATATTTTTCCTTCAACTCTATTAACAAGCTCTTGAAATTAGAAACCGAAGTAAGTATCCACCTGCATTGAATGGCAGACTAATTAATTTATAGCTAAAACTTAAAAAGCTAATAGATAGGGAAAATATCACAGGTAACGATTGAATGCAGAACCATGTAAAATTGAGCAACATGAACAAAAAAGACACGAATCCTGTGTAAAAAGTTAAAAGCCACCAATAACAATTTTGATCGAACACGTGGACTTCCAATGGTTCCCCTTCAAGATGTGAAAAACCCACAAACAATCTTTGTTTGCGCTTGGCAATGGTCCTCTCTTTTGGCTTGTAGTCATAAAATGTAACATCATTTTCGGTATAATAGCAGTTACTGAAAAAATGCTTGTATTCGTCAAAAGATGGTCTGCTTGAAAAAATTGTGATAGTACCAGGTAATCTTATTGTATAATAAGCTTCCAAATTCGAATTTAAATTTCTTGCTTGTCTGTTTGTCAGTGTCACTGAATCTGAGCCATTAAGAGGTAAATTCCTTATAAAACCGAATGAGTTTATGTGCTTGTTTTGGAATTTCTCGTTCAACCACTAAAAAAATATCATTTGATGAGTCAAAATTTGAGTAACATGATATTTTATATTTAAATGTTTTACCTGAATATCGTCTGGCGACCAGAGTTGTTTAATTTGATGCCAATAGCATTGAGGTATTTTTGCATAATGCAACACTAAATATATTACAGATATTACAGCTATAATGGTTCCGATCTCCATAACTATTATGGTGGTTGCTGATGACTTTAATGGTGAGATGAAACAATGGAAATTGAAATTAAAATGGAAGCTCTTTCATTGTTTTCATAACTATTAATATGAACTACTCATGATATTTCAACTGAAAATCTGACTGAATTAAGGCTAACACCTGTATGTGACTATGCAACTCTGAGTTACATTAAACATTCCAGTCAATTAATAAGTCATCTTTTCAATATATAATCAGATAGGCTGATTTGGGTTTCCGATTGGGCAATGTATCGATAGCTCAAGTTTTGTTGAGTGCTGTTTAAATAAAAACTAATCTGTTGATGCTATTGAAGACAAGAAGAAATTTTTCATTCTTTTTTTTGAAATAAAACTTTATTAGATGATTATTTATGTGATGACCGAATCAATCGATAGACTAAATATTGATGCTTATTCCCTTCAAGCTCAAACTCTATTGACGAGCTCTTAAAATTAGACACAGAAGTTGGTCGATGCATTGATTGGCTGAATAATGAATTTAGAGTGACCGACTGAGTGTAAGTCGACCTAGTCGACTTTGACTGTTGAACGACTGACTGACTATCAGTCAACCAAGTACACTCATTCTCACTGTTTTCAGTTTTTATTTTGAGAAGAATACAGAAATTTCAACGAATTTATGATTTTGCCCAGCCTTTCAGAAACTGAATACATTGTTTTTTGATCTCATGCTATTGAGTCAACTTAGTCGATAGTCGAGTGTATCGACTTAGACTTGGTCGAAATTTTATCGACTGACTGACTGACTGACTGCATCGGCTAACTTCGGCATCTACTTAAAATGCGTATAGATAGGGAATATAACATATTGATACAGGACCATATAAAATTTAGGAAAAACGTGAATTTCGTGTACAAAAACAGGAGCCACCAATAACAATTTTGATCGAACACGTGAACTTCTAATGGTTTCCCTTCAAGATGTGCGAAACCCACAAACAATCTTTGTTTACGCTTGAAAATTTTCCTCTCTTTTCGATTGTAGTCATAAAATGTAACATCATTTTCGGTGTACCAGCAGTTACTGAAAAAATGCTTGTATTCGTCAAAAGATGGTCTCCTTGAAAAAATCGTGATAGTACCAGGTAATTTTTTAGGATCTTTTTTATAATATTTGGCGAATTGCTCATCTAAATCTTCTTGTTGTTTCTTTGTCAGGCTCTTTGGATTTTTACCGGGAGGTAAATTTCCTTTTATTAAAGCGTTATTGAATGAGTCTATGTGCTTGTTTTTGAATGCATTGTGCAGTCGCTAAAAAATATCATTTGATGAGTCAGAATTAAAATAACATGATATTTCGCATTTAAATACATGTATTTACCTGAATTTTACTTTTGCCTAGCCACCAGTGCTGTAAAAATTGATGCCAGCAGCATTGAGGTACTCCTGCATATATAGCACATGACAATACAAATACAAATATAAAGGCTAGGATCTCTATAACTGACATGATGGTTGCTGATGACTTTAATGGTGAGATGAAACAATTGAAATTAAAATTAAAATGGAAGCTCTTTCATTGTCTTCATACAGTAGGGTCTCTTTTAGTCTAACGCTTTAACCTTGCTTCAAATCATCTGTTTAGGCAAAAATGATGCATCCCTCTAGCGGACTTGTAGTTTGAATCGTTATAGTCAATTTAATACATAATCAGATAATATGATTCAGATTTTCCAATATTGTGCGATATATCGATATCTTTCAATATCAAAAATATCGATATGAGAAAAATCATAATGATGAAATCACTAAAAAGTACAAAGTAAATTATTTAAGCAAAGCTGCACATTAGAACGATTAGTGTTGCTTTGAAGGAAATATTAAGGTCGATTTAACCTGAAAATGCCCTGTTGAATCTGATTAAATGAATATCATTCAACAGAGCAATGTCTTTTGATCTTGTCACAATAATAATGCAAAATTATTCACGATGATTCACTTCAACTAACCCAGTCAACTCATGAATTAGCCAAGTGAGCCAGACAACTTTAAGTCAACATCTAAGAGTCTGGAAACTAATGCTCAGTCTTTTTGAGATTTACAGTGAAAGAATGGAATCTTTGAAATAAAATGTTTATTGAAATCAACTTGTCTCTTTATGAAAAGTAATTGTCATTGTGCGTTTTTTTTTATATTGAAATTGATGAGTTTCTAGCATTGGGACTCAAAATGATAACTTGTTAACCTGTGTGAGTCAGCTTGAACTTTGGCCAAACCGTTGAGTCAACTTTTGACCTTGTTTCGTGGTGACTCATTTCACTCACCAACAACAAATCATTACTATTGGTAACACCCAGCCTGAACCTGGTCAAACGACTAGACCCTCAATCACACACCTGAGTGAGTCACCAATGAGTCAACATCTGTGTTGACCTGCATCGTCTTAACCTGTAACTTATAAATGGAGCTTGTATACAATATGGAGCTTTAAAAACATGAAAAGTGTGAGAAAAAAATGACGAAATATTGAAGTCTAAAAGTAAAGAGTTGATCTTTAGACTTAATAATTATACTTGGACATCCAGAGTCCAGGGTCGAGCAGTCGAGACACTTGCAATTTCAGGTCATCAAGAGATTCACCATAAATTGCTCTAATTATAATCTTTTATCTCAACTTTCACCTGTGTTTACCAGGTTAATTGCTAGCTGATGAACAGCCCATCAAATCTGCATAAAGCACATCATACACACAATTAAGTCTACATCTGCCACAAAGTGGACAATGGCTACACTTGCAAGTTGAATGTGAACTTGCATCATCAACTTCCACATGCATCTGTTTTTGTCCTACCCTTGATCGATTAAAGAATCCGAATAATCAGATTAAGAATGTTCAGGTTATGCGACTTAAGTGTTGAGTCAATAAAAACTTTACCCTGAAATGTATCACCTCATTCAATTAACCTTGGAGCTTCGAGATTTTGGATTCACTTTTATGTTTATTTTACTCGAGAAGCTCATCAAAATATCTTTAATCATGCCGAGTCATCTTTTTATTCATCGAACCACATTTTCATCTTATTCAGCGTTTTAAGTCAACTTTTAATGAAGTCAATTTGTTTCGATAAATGTTCATGCATAATGATCCTTTGACTACTCAAATCGCTTCCAATGTTGAATAGAGCCATAAACTCTTTGAGACTCGAAACATTGTCAATGAATTTCATCAAATTCATTACTTTTACTCAAGTAAACTTGTCGAGATAAATCAACAGATTAATCAAAAACACGTCACTTCAAATGCCCACACATTTTTAATCAATCAATAAATTTGACACTTTTGTCAAAAAAATTGGGAAAAGGCTAACTTTTAGGTAAAAGGTAACATCCAAAAATGACCAATTTTCATGTTAGCAAAGAATCAAACTCTTTCCATGAAATGGATAAATTCAACGGCAAAGAATGACAATTTTTTATTCAATTTTTGGTCAGTCTGAGCATTATTTTTTCAATTTTGTCTTCAGAGATAATAATCTTCAGGGCATTGATCATCATGGACCATCTGAATCTACATCAAGTAATCTGAATAATCACATTCAGTCAAGAATAACCTATGGGGAAAAAGTTTGAGAATTTTTGGTTTTTTTCTTATATCTCGTAATACAATGGTTGAATTTTTCTGAAAATTCAACATTTCATAGTTGGCTAGTCTAGCTTTGATTTCTGAGAAATCCATAATGAAAAAAACAAAGGTCACTTCAAAATCATCGCTCAAACGCGGAGAAAAAAATTTCTTTTTGATACATGTTAAACTCTCATAAACAGAAAATGACTAACAACTTTGTAAGTCAACTTTTTTGAAGCTAAAATTCTATTCAAAATTGAATATCTTTTGAACGGCTGATTCGAATTTTTTAGATTATACATCAACTGAAAGGTCTTGAAGATATACATCGATTAGTGTATTTTTTCAGATAGATCGAAGTTTCTTCATTGGGTTCTTCACGAAATCAATTTCTTGAAAAAAAAATTTCTCCTCCGAGTTTTAGCGATGATTGTGAAGTGACTTTTGTTTTTTTCATTCTGGATTTCTCAGATATCAAAGCTACACTATCCAACTATGAAATGTTGAATTTTCAGATAAATGCAACATTTATCTTTCGAGGTATAAGAAAAAACATAAAATTATCAAACTTTTCCCCCACAGGTTATCAAAATGAATATCGAAATTCAAAAAATCGTGCAATTCATCTCCATTCAAAGATTCATCTAATTTAATAGGTGAGTTCGATATCATGGAAACAGAATCAGTAACCGTTAAATATGAAAATCGATCAACGAATAAATGATTAATAATTTCAAGTCAACGAAAGTTGAAAGCAAATTAGTTTCAACAATAAACACTAGATGGAAGTAAAAGCAGTCATTAAAATCTGGTTTCTTGTTTTTTTTTGTTTTGAAGGTTTTTTTATTGGATTAAACATTTGTTTTGATTGATGATAGCATTTGTCGGATTAAGTTTTTATTGTAAGTTAATTGCTACAGAATAAAGCTTAATTAACAAACATGTTTATATATAGTCAATTGATTGAGTTGCACACAAATGGACCAGCCAATTGTAGTCTATCTTCACTGGTCAAGCAAAAGGTTGAATAACGCGTAGTCGCTGTTAACTAGTCAGGTAATGATCATTTGCAAATTGATTGTGATTCCATTGTAAGATAATGTTTGACTGGCAACAATTACTAAATTGTTACAGTAAAATTGGATGGATTAAAGTGGGTGAAAGTGATGAGGTTAATAGAGAGGTTACATTGCGATTGGTTACAGCTAATTGAATCGAGTATTGCGTTTACGTTGTCGCATGTTTCTACACATGGTTTCATCTTCATCGTCATTGTAAATGGGACAATCCTTGAATCCATCACAAAGCCAATTCAATGGAATACACTGGCCATGTTGACACTTAAACTGAGTTTGAGGGTTACATTTCAATTCTTTACAGTTCATAAAGGGTTCCTCATCTTCACCATCTGAACAGTCAGGTTCATTATCACAGATCCAAGCTTTACCAATGCACTCTCGGCTCTTTGGACATTCATATTGGTACACTTTGTTACACGCTAAAGTCACGAAAAAAAAGGCAGAAATGTAATTAAATTGTTCAACAGCTTTGACTTGTCCAAATCCATAGATTTGAATTTTAAATTAAAATGTTTACTCAAGTAAATGAAAAGGCTATTAAATAATCAATTAAATGAATTTGCATTCAGTCATTTCTAACGATCATTAAAAGCTCATTAAATCATCAGCTTCTTAAATGATTTCGAGTCTAATTGGACACTTAAACCCAATGAAGCTAAAGATCATTTCAAAAGTTTCCTGCAAATGAGAAGGCAAAATTTGGACAAAAACAGTTTCGAATCAAACTTTACTCGAGTTGAAATTTTCATATTTATCGAGTTGAGGTGATCAAGTTATGAAATTGAACCATTTTCTTACCTTGGTAACTTGGCTGAATAAATGATAGAAGAAGAAGAAGAAAAGCAATGAACAAGGAATGATAAATCATGAGGCAGATCTTAACGTGTTTTTAGTTCACCTGTTAGTTGATTAAATATCCGAGAAAAGCGGACAAAAGTGACACAAATTTAATCACAAATGTTGAACCGTTGAGGGTTGAATTGGTGAACAGGCAAAGTCAAGCAATGTGAGGTTAAACCAGAAAAAAATGTTTTTTTGTCGATTGTTTGATGTGCCAATGTTTCAATAGTTGAAGACAATGAAAGTTGATTAGGGAAGCTTGTTGATGGTAAATAAAAATTTTAATCAAGATTATGATGAAGGAGCTCGTTAATCACAATTTAGTCTTACACTTAAGAGTGAGCAGTAAAAGCCGAAAGAGTAGAGATGATGAAGAAGAAGAAGAAGAAAGAATGTCATTTTGTATTAATAACAATATTAAATTACTATTGGTTAATGAACACTTGAACAATTTCAGGGTCAAAATGCTGATGATATTGATGATGGTAATGATGAAGATGATCTCAGAATCGGTAACAACAATAATAAATAATGATTTAGCAATCAGAAAATGTTTCAAACTTACTCTTGGTTTTGTTGATGAATCCTGTAAAGGCCAGCATTGAACAAGGTAACGGTCCATTCAATGAGTTATCCTTGATTGTGTTCATCAAATGAACATCATGATGTCATTGAAGTAAATGAACATTTTTTTTCCTTTTTCCAGATTCTCCATTTAAACATTTTACTTTTGCACAGAACGACAATGACTCGATTCACACAGCTTTCAATGTGATACTTTTAATGGATCAGTGTTTTGGGTTCACAGTCTTGAGCTTTTTTGTTTGCATTTCCCGATTACCGTGTTGACTGTCACAATCTTGGTCAAGTTGTGAGATAAGATTTTTGGTGAAAACCAGAGAAAAGGCAAAATCTCTAATTGTCAATCTGTGTGTTTGCATGTTAATTATGGTAATAGTGAGTAACAATCTGATACAATCTGATTGAAGATGATGACGATCAAGATGCAAAGTACTGTTGATCACATTACCTGATCTAGTTGACAGTTGTAATCTAATCGTATAACTGTTGACTGTCTATTTTAAAGAGCCAATCTAAATGTCAAGAATCAACTCAACATTGTACACAATTTAGAGTTTACATTTCATTTGTGTCTTTGATCTTTACTCGTTTTTTAGACTCATTCACCTGACTTTATTCTGGTTGATTTTTTCGGCAATTTTTAATCCATTGATTTCAATTGATAACCAGGATTGGCTTAATCTAATGTTGCTTTCTGGTTTTATTGTGGTTTCCTGTGTTTTAGCTGCTTCTAACCAAACTTGAGTGTCTTTACTTTTTTTCATTTTGCCATGAACAACTTGAATTTCACTTGACTTGACTTCAGATTAAATCATTTTACTTGTTTTGATGCTTAAGTTGCTAATTTGTAACTACGCATTTGTTGTTCATCCAAACTGGATCCGTTATGATATCCATTTGACACTGAATCGTCAGAACCAGAAGTTAAGTGATTGACAATTTTCATTGAGTCATTTCCATTAGTGACAATCCTTTCCTTGGTAAAAACGGATAATGCATTTTAATCAGGTTTTCAGGTCAAAATAATAATGTTCATCACTTTCTTTACCTTTTTTTATCCTGCAACAATTTACTTGATTTGCTTCAATTGATTTAAAGTTACCATCAATTAAGATATATCTATGTATCTTAATGTATCAAAACAATCGAGTTGAAGTTTATAATTGACAAATGATTTGCTTCTACCATTAAATTTGACTTACCTTTAGTCTAGCTATTTGGATTAATTGTCTCGAGAAATATTGTTTTGATGAACAAATTGTTTACCTTTCTTCCAACCCTTTCCCTTATCGGTAATTAAGCTTGTTGATCGTGAAAAATTTTTCTTCTTATTACGGTAAACATTGTCTAGACACTGATTATTTACTTGGAACACTGCTCGAATCAAGTTAAATGAACTTTAACCGGCTTACCAGATTACGTTGAATTTACAAGAAATGAGTGTCAAATTTTAAGCTGTTATAATTGCTAGATAATGGTTCATGGAATACAAATCAATGTTGTTGACAATATAAGCGAACTTCAAAAGTTGAACTTATTTTTAGCTCAATCATTTTCTCGTTGCAATAATGATGCAAAATAAGCCGATAAAGCAGAATGAACTTCTGAGTTTGGCGATTGCAAATTTCAGTTAAACTAGCCAACTTGTTCGTATTGTCCCCAGACTTATCTAATATCCACCATTCCTCAGTATCATATTGATCATATCCGAAAGTTGATTTGGGTTGTGAAAAATCTGGTGATTAATCTTATTAAAAGTGATTGAAATGTGGTGGAAAAAGTGCCTTTAAAATTGGTGGACAATTTTGTTGAGAAAAGTCTCTTTAAAAAGCGATTGTGAAAAGCCTTAATTGGAGTCTCTTTAACCTCTGAATAAGGATGAGTTGGTAATGCAACCTGATGATACACAGTTTTATCATAAAGCTCGGAATATAATCTCTTTTGTCGCTTTCAATGCCAGCAGTCATTTTGCATTTTCGTCTGTTTATTTTCATTTGATAATACCCAATTGATCCAAATAAAGACGCTGTCAACACGAGCGTAAAACTTTATTCCCAGATTTGACGGCAGATTTGCGTTTGATGAAATTTATGCGCGCTTCACGCACGTTTCAATTTCTAGTAACAAAAAGAGTTCCCCACCTTGTTTCAATCCTCTTACCCTTTAAATTGTCAAACAGACTTGACCAACTCTTTAACCACTGCGCTATTAATTAATTTAATAAACAGACATAATTTATGAAGTGTATTGTATAAACAGACATTGATACCTTTCCTTGACTGAAAATTATTGCGTTAAACGCAAAAAACGCAAAGAGGCAAACAATTCTGCGTATTAACTTTATGCGCTGGCCTTACGCTCTCTCTACTTTGCTTTCGGCACAAGACTTGGATCAATTGGGTAGTTTGACTCAGAAGTACAAAAGTGTGAAAAGAGCAAAGGCTTCAATTGAAAAGTTATTTTTCTACCTGTTTAGGATAACTCGAGAGCCACAGAGAACTGAAACTTGAAGCAATCACAAAGTTGACAAATGAGTCGGAAATGTTTATTTGAATCAAACTTTACTCATCAAAGTCAAACTGTAATCTTATCGGTTTGTTACAATAACGCAAAAGATGAAACACTGGAAACTATGAGTCAGCCAAAGCAGTCAAGTTGGAAAGCATTGTGAGTCAACAGCAACTTTGAGCCTGGAAAGTTAGCCTTTAAATACAACCTGTTATTAACCATAAGCTTTATAAACTTGAGGCTTTATGCACTTGCAATCTTGCATGTATCTTTAGCCACAATAAAAACGTTGCAATTTCCGATTGATTGCCAATATTGGCTCAAGACTGGATGAAATTTGCATGTAATAAATGCATTACAAATGATTTAACATTAAACTTGACAGATAAACCATGTTAATGTGGCTTGGTGTAAATGCAATTTGATTATCTTATAGCCTTTGAAAACAACTGATACAGAAATGGTCATTAAAAATGCAAAACTTTTCTCTCTTTTCCTTTAAATTGAATGTGATCCCAGTTGATGAAAAGCTGGTAACAAGATGAAGATTGAAACGATTCAAGATTTATAATATACTCATATAAGGTAATACAGATTTAATCAAATTTGATCTTTTTTTTTGCTTTTCTCCTTTTCTCTCACTTTCTCAGTTCTGATTGAAAATGAATTGCAAATTAATCATTACGTGAAGAAACAGAAAAGTACGTCATTATTAAAAGAGAAGAGCGAAGAAAAGCAAATTAAAATTGATCTTCACCAATCTACACTTTGAACCAATTGTGATTCACCTTTCATCATGATCATCATGTAAATGAGATGAAAAGGTCTACAAGTGATGAACACACAGAAACACACAGTAAAAAAGGCAAACAAGTCAAAGGTGCAAAAGCCTTTTCATCATCTAGTTGATTCGTCTTCATTTGATTGCTGCTATTATTAAATGTAATCAGATTGAACCTTTGCCTGAACCACCAATTATTATTATCATCAGTCAAGTGTAAAAAAATATCAAACCAAAGGAGCAAAATGAAATACATTTGACTGGTTCATTCATTGATTATTATGGTTAATCTTGTTAATAACCAGCAACCCTGTTATTATATCCAATAGATTATCAATTGAAATGGTGAACACAAGATATAACAGGTTATTATTATCATCTATACCTTGACTGTGATTAGGCTAATAATGAAAGCAAGACAAATTGGAAAAGCTTGAGAACAAAATGGAAAAGAAATTGATTGAAAAAATAAAACAAAACAGTAAAACATTTAATCAAATGGTTTTCCCATTTCATCTTGAAATCTGTTTATGTGAATCTAATAGTGTTATTAAGGTTGTTCAAGTAATAACAATCAACAACCATTAACAGTATATTTCAATCAACATTTCAAATTCATCATCAGCCTTGGATTAAGCCCGACTCTAGAGTCTCGGTTTGTGGGCAAGACAAAAGGCTAACAGGTTAAGGATTGTTTTATGTGAGACCCAAAAAAGTTTTCAACAAAACATGAAAAAATGGTGAAAATCAATTGACTCTAGACTTATTCAACTCCACCTAACTTGATCCAAGTCTGTCATCTTCAATGTTCATCCAATCATCATTATCATCATCATCTTCGTCTCAACTCCTACTGATACCTTTTTAACTGTCTACTTCATCTTCATCACAATTCTCACTCTTTTTTTGGTCTCTCTCTCTCTCTCTTCATCTTCATGATCATCTTTTTTTCCTCTTTTTCCTATCATCTTCACTCCCTCTCATCATTTTACTTTAACAACTTTTCCTTCTCACAGAACTGGGCTCAACTGGGTCTTTTTTTCAAATTAGATTGTTTTGCCTTTTGGTTTGGTGCCTCAAGGAAGATGAATTAATGTCTTGAGGAGTCTTCATCTTCTTCCCGGGAAGTTTATCTTCAAATGGCAACAGGTTCAACCTCATCCTTCTCATCATCATGTCTTGAACAGAAGAAGAAGAAGAAGAAGAAGAAAGAAATCATTATCTTATTCATTCTCTGGTAACTGATCATGTAAGCTTTAAGGTGATGAATTGAGTTTTGGATTAACCGATTCAATTGAATCAAAGTCAACTGGACAATTGACTTGTAAACAGGAAAATCTTTTTTTCTCTTTTCCTGAAACTCCAATCATTTGCTGACCAATTAGCATCATCATTACCGTCAAGTAAAACTCGTAAAACCATCAAAACGTTCGCGTGATAAAACTCAATG